GCAGTTGTTAAAAAAGTGGCGACATGGGATGTTTCACCTAATTACACGGAGCAATAATATGTTCTACTACATTATAATTGTATAGGGTTTATATTTAGCGCATACATTAAATTGTAAAGTTGTTTAAGCCTTAGTATTGTAATGAGTTTTTCATTTATACAAGTTCGTTTTTTCTGAATTATAAATTTTGATGAAATGCTTAATTGAAGACATTAAAATTTTAAAATACTAATGCATATGCACGTGTTATAATAGTGGAACATAAAAAGCTTATATAGTTTTTCTTTTTTCATTATTGAATTATTGAGAAGGGCAATAGAATTCAAGAAATGCGATTAGTGTCGTTGGTTTCATTGTTGAAAATGAAAAAAGACCAAAGACTATCGTTTTATTAAGCTTTGTAGTAAGTGAAATATTTTTGTGTGATGCCATGTATAGATTCATTTAAAACTAACTATTGTTTCATGCACTGTTGTGATAATATAATAAAAAATAATGACGAGAAATTCTCGAATTACATTCGAATTAGTAATTTCTATATTTGTAGCTTTGTGTGATTATATCTATGAGAGAATGTTCAAATTCTTTATTAATTTAAAAAGTTTTCAATATCAGTTATGCTAAAAAGCAAATAAATAGATTATTACTGATCATAACAATAACGAGAATCCAATCCACTTTTCTATTTCATTCCTCAACCTACGCATATTTCGTGATATTTCTGTCTGCGCTAGGGGTAATGAATTTAAATTTATGAACTTTTATTTTGAAATTTTAAATCCAATTTAAATTTCGTTATTTAAGTTTCTAAAAGTTAAATTTAAAATTTGGGATTTTAAATTTGGAATTTATTTTAAATTTGAATTCTTTCAAATTTGAACTTAAAATAAATTATAATGGAAACATGACACTCTTATATAATATGCACTCACACACCCACATAGAAGTATTAGACTTAAGAATTAATACAAATTTTCTAATAAATATTTTCTTAATCAAAGAGAAGATTCTCTAAACGGTTTTGTTAATACACTGTCACGGTGGTGACACGGCAGCAGTAGGTTTTTTTCTAATAAGCTGCGGTGAGTTTCGCTCTTCATAGCAGCGTGGTGTCAAGTTTTCAAAAACATTGACGGTACGGTAGCGGTCGATTTTCAACCGCGATGAACGTCTCTACTTCATGATCATTTCGAATCAAATTATTCCAGATTATAGCCCATATATTGTTCTATATAGGGTATAATTTTCAGAATTTTCTATTGTATCCTTGAAGAATGAAACGTTCTATACTGAACTACTCAGAAGCACCTGTATACAATACACGGAATAAATGTGAATCACTCATAGTTATCCAACTTTTTAATGATGTGAAATTGACTAGCAATGTTTTTCCCCTATGGAAAACTTGTCGAGAGATAGTCATACATGTGCTCGTCATGACCTCCAGATCCGACAATAATCAACTAAAGAGTGCATTTACTTTCTTTTTGTAGTATCGGACTAAAAGGAAATTGAGCGTATTAATCAGAATGCACAGTAGTAGTGAAATATGATTCACTATTGACTTGTTCATAGCATCAGTCTGGACGTTTCTGTTCTTTAATATCTATACACTGCACATTCTTGTCTAGTCTTGCCATACTGTCATGGCTATGCCCAGAGTTCATACGCTCTGCCTTATGGTTTCTCCCCTTCATCGCTAAGTCTGTCCTATATACACATTCTTTCTTAATTGCACGTTTTGTGTAATACAACTCTTCGCGTGATAGTATGTGCTTAAAGCATGTTTCACCCTCTGTTGTTCTGGTATTCATATTCATTTGTTTTTGTTTTGTTCTTATGCAATATACATGGAGAGAGACTCATCACGCCTGCATCATTTAATAGTCGATGAAAGTTATAAATATATAGGAGTTCTAACGCTTCGAAAGACTTTAATTCCGATGATCGGTCAAGAATATTCTGTCAAGATCAAACGAATTTCTTATCGCGTGATATCATATATTGAATCAGAGAAAAACGGTGCTAAAATTCCTTTGAACAACATATTGAAGCGCACTCAAGCGTGTCTTGAAATATCAATAAAATCGATCAACAATCTGAAAAAATAAATGCGTGAAATTATTGAAGAAGTGCGGCAACGGCACGAAAAGGAGAACGAAGAGCATAAGGTTTATCACCTGCGCAGTCGAACTTCAGATACCATTGCATCATTTTCGTGCTACAACCAAACAGTTTGTACAAGAATACAGAGTATCTCATCATCAGAAACAATGATTACGAGCCATCATTAACTGTATCAAACAATATCAGTTGCCAAACCATTGGTCTCAGTTCCTGAACCAAGGCCACTAACGAAGGCAAGCAATGTCGGGCGGAAATCAATCGTACTGAGTGTATTTGCCTAGGATACCATTCGATACATCTTCAATAAGATGCTCGCGGAAAAAATACATCCGACAACAATCACTCTTCTCGTAAGAATACAAGCAGGTCATTTAGATTTTCTTATCCAAACGAAGTCAATTCTTCTCAAAAAGATGAAATATCTTCGGTTCTAATATCGAAAAATATCAAAAGTAGCAATACATCTTGAATGAGTTGGTTGTATTAATATAGAAGATGCTGTGAGGTTAATATCATCTCATGTTTTGTAATATTTCAGTTCCGTCTTATTCATGTTTCAACGGGATACTTATTTTCAAAAGCTGAACCATCACCACGGTGTTGGCGCTCAGGTTTATTATTACGATGAAACATGGTGTAACATCGGCAAAGAGAAAGAATATATCTGGTTAAGCAATCGTGATAAGGACCGTTTGAGTAACAGTGATGGTAAAGGCAAAAGAATGGTCATCTCGGCCATGATTAATAAAAAAAGGCTTCGACAAGCATTCATTCATTCATTTTCTTCCCCTTATCCTTTCGAGTCGGCGTTTAAGCCCATTCAGTAGAAGTTTCTATCGTTTTCGATCTTGTGTAGCTTGTTGTATTTCAAACCATTGGAGGCCTAAACGCTCCTTGATAAGTTTTTCGATGTATTTGCGCCAGCTGGTTCGTGGTTTTCCAATTGGTCTTTTTTCTGTAGGTACAGCTTGTAATACTTGATATGAAAGTCACTGTTGTGGCATTCTTAGAATATGACCTAACCATCGTAATTGTGAGCGTTCAATGTGGAGAAGTAAAGGTTCAATTTGTAGAGATTCACGTATGTTTGAACTTCGAATTTTGTCTCGTAGTATCACACCAGCTATTCTACGTAAAAATTTCATTTCAGCCGATTCGATTCTTGATCGAATTTTCTCTGTTAATATCCATTGTTCATGGTCGTATATCAGGGTAGGCCGATACACCGATTTGAAAATTGCAAGTTTTGTCTTTTTGCTCAGTTCTGTTTTTGTTACAACTGTTCGATATAATGAGCGTAAGACTCTACTTGCCGCAGCTATTCGTCGATCGATTTCACTATCCTGTTTTCCATCATTTGAGAATTGCACACCTAGATACTTGAATTTGTTCACTTGATCCAGCTGATTGTTGTTCAATTGAAGTGTACATTGATTGGATTCTCTTGAAATCACCATTAATTCTGTTTTCTTCGAACTGATCTTCATACCAAAGGCCAAACACACTTCTTCAAATCGGTCGAGAGCATTTTGTAGATCATTTGCTGATGCTGCGAGGCGAACAACATCATCAGCAAAGAGAAGAGAATCCACCTTTACATCACCGATCTCGACACAGACTGGGTTGGTACTTGTTCGAGATATCTTGTCCATAAATACCATAAATAATAACGGGGATAATGCACACCCTTGTCGAAGTCCAACTTTCACCTGGAAAGATTCTGATTTTCTACCATTTCTTCGAACACAGTCCTTGCAGTTGTTGTGTAAAGATTGAATTGCAGCCAAGAGACGACCATGAATTCCATATTCCATTAATATTTCCCAAAGTGTGTTGCGTGGTACTCGATTGTAAGCCTCCTCCAAGTCGATGAATAATGTATAAACTGGTTTAGCAAATTCCCATGACTTCTCCAGTATTTATTGTAGTGTAAAGATTTGATCCATTGTTCCTCTTCCTGAACGAAAGCCACATTGTATTTCTTGAATCTGTGGTTCCACTACTTCTCGACATCTTCGTTCGATTACTCTGGCGAAGAGTTTGCCAGGAAGACTTAGCAGAGTGATTCCTCTGTTGCTTGAGCATTCTTTCTGGTCTCCTTTTTTGAAAATTGGAACAACGATACCTGTCTGCCAATCCGCTGGAGCTTTGCCAGTTTTCCACACCACCTGGCAGATTCGAGTAAGCCATCGTATATCACCAGAAGTGAGAGATTTTAACGTTTCTGGTCTCATTTCATCTACTCCTGCAGCTTTGCCGGCTTTAAGTGATTTGATAGCTGTTGTGACTTCGGCCAGAGAAATATCATTAGATTCATCAGATTCATTCAGCCTAAGTTCACTTGATTTGGTGTGTTTTTCAGACGGCGAATTGTAAAGGTCTGCAAAATATTCTTTCCATCGATTTAAAATGTCTTCTTCTCGTATCAGGAGTCGACCAGACGAATCTTTAACTGAACGTGTCGATTTCTGTCCACCTTTACGGAGTCGACGAATAGTTTGCCAAAACAATTTGTTCGCTGCGTAGTGGTTATATTCCAGTTGATGACCAAAATCTTCCCACGACTTCGATTTTGCTTCAGCCACAAGTTTCTTTGCATTGTCTTGTAGCTGTCTATAGTTCTGCCAATTTTCTGGTGTTTGTCGTTGTATCCATTGACAATATGCTGTTTTCTTTTCACTAATGGCCTTGCGAACTTCTTCATTCCACCATGCCGTTTTCTTCTGTCCATGTTGAAATCCAATTTGCTTTGTTCTACAAGTTTCTGCTGCAGCTTCCATCAGTGCTGTACGACATAGAAACCATTCCAATTCAATATCGGTCTCCTTCGATGGTAGCTGAGAATATCGTTGGTCTACCTCTTTTGCAAATTTTCGTCTGGCTTCTTCATCCGCCAATGCTTCCCATCTTATTCTGATAATTTTCTTTGATTTGATTTTTCTTATTGGATGATTCGACGATATTTCTAAAATACAAACAACCAAGTGATGGTCAGTTGATAGTTCTGCTCTCCTTTTGACATGTACATCCGTCACTGCTCGTCGTAGGTTCTGAGATACAATGACGAAGTCGATCAATGATCGCTGAGCCATCGACCCTCCTGTCTTGTACCATGTATATTTGTGGATGTTCTTGTGCTGGAAGAAAGTATTTACTATCGATAGTCCACTTGTTGCACAGAAGTCTAATAAGCATCGGTCTTGGTTATTGAGATCTTGATCATCATTTGGTCCTATCACGCCATTCCATGTCTGTGAGTCGTTTCCAACATGTGTATTGAAGTCTCCTAAAAATAAAATAAAATCTTTCATTGGAATACTTTCCATGGCTATGAGAACTGTATCAAGAAATGCCATATAATCTGCTTCAATGTTAGGTGCATAAACTTGAATAATTGTCAGTATTGTTGCCTTTAGCTGACGTCTTATAAGAGCAACTCTTTCATTGATTGGTTTCCATTCCAGAACTGCATCCGCTAAAAGTGGATTTAAGAGTATTGCTACTCCTGCTTGTGCATGTGTTGATGGATCGACGCCCGAGTAAAATAATTGCCACCCATTGTTCAAAGCCAATGTTCCTTGACCTTTCCGTTTCGTTGATGAAATTCCAAGTATGTCGAGTTGATATTTTTTGGCTTCTTCGATTAATTCAAATTGTTTGCCAATCAGTGATGTTACATTCCATGTACCAATCTTCATTTTACATTGACGTTGTTGATATTGATGTTTAGTTCTACTGAACGTGCCGTTTAGGCATTGCACCGCCCCCCCACCTCCCCCATGTCTTCTAGGACAGTTGGCGAAACCATTGCTAGTCGTTTGTTGATGTTGAGTAGTTGGTTCCCGTAACTTTTTCGAGTTGATCCCGGTCGATCTACGGGTACCAGTGATCGATCGACCACCAGACGCTCGCATATGAGCTCTGTCTCTAGGCATGGCTCCAGGAACATGCCCCGGTTTCCAACATCCGGGCGACGTACGAGTATTATTTGTTGTATACATCATGAGAGGTTTGCAGAGGCTCGTTAGCGTTATCCAGGAAACACCACGTGGAGGAGAGCATGACTTGTTTCCCTTCGACAAGCATACAGTCGAAATTTTTCGTTGTGACGAAGTACATTCAATGAATAATAATTATTTCATCTTATGGATTCGTAAAGCAGTTACTCATTTACGTAGTTATCACCCTGAGCCAGTTCGAATATGCATTATTATTGATAATGCAATGTGGAATTGTGAATTACTGGTGGAAGGCTAACATCAAGCAGTGGCTTCAACAACGTAAAATTGAATTCGATAAGTGGATGATGAAAGCGCAGCTATTGGAATTAGCTTTTGCCAATGTTCATCCCAAAAGGTTCAAGGCTAATGCGATAGCATCTTGATTCACTGTTCAGACTCTTCGTCTATCCATCAAGCATTGTACGTTGAACTCAAATGAACTCACGTAGTCAAGTCTCAAGGAATACGTTCGAAAACACAATACATCTTATTGTCTTCTTCGATAAACAGTCTCACTGAAAGCTATGATGCTCAGCATGTTCTATTATTCTTTACAGCATCTGTCGGGTATAGAAGTATTATCACGTGAATTCATCAATACTACTGATGCCAATTCCTGTCAGAAATATCTCGAACATGTGCACAAAGGTGAACAAAATTTTCGTGCAGTCGACACTTTGGTCGGAGAAGCTATCGAGTTTGATTCTTCTGATTCAGATGAAGATCAAGATGAACATGAAGATAACAATGTTAAATTCTTGTCTATTTCATCCGCTTCTTTTAGTCTGATACTACAAAAAGAAAGTGAATGCAGTCTTTGGTTGATTATTGCCGGTCCTGGAGGTCATGATGAGCACATGCGTGACTATCTTTCGACAAGTTTTCCATACACTGAAACAAAATTGGTTCCATACGGAACTTAAAAAGTTCCGTGGTACTTTACTATACTTGAAAAGGTTTCGTTCGCACAGACGAAACCTCAAAAGAGTGTAGTATCATGTGGAGTTTCGTGATAAACCTTTTCGAGCATCGAAAATCGAAAAGGTTTCGTAAAATAGTCTTCAAACTTCATTTCAAAACATGGGCACTAAAGTAGATATACCTGCCCGAACTTCGTTTCTGATCGAGTGAAGTGAAGATCAATCACTAATTGATTCACTGCTATTCATATTCTGCATTGAGTAAAATATTTTCAATATGCAGTAGTCAAAACAAATCGAAATGGTCGAAGTACTTAAGATTATTAAAAAAAGATTTCTGTATTGCAATTTCTAATCCCAATAAAAACTAATCGCATACGTTCTCTGTTGGGGAGCCCAAGTATATTCGCTGAAGTAAAGGGGTTAAACAAAGATATGGGGATATTTTGGGGATTGAATTAGGACTCAGATGGTAAGTTAGGGATATAGATATCCATAAGAGGATTAGTTATGGAGTCATATTAAGGTTGATGGGATCCGTTAGGAGGTTAGATTTACATTAAGAGAGTACATTGGCTACTAAGAACAATCCGTTTCCTAGAAAATCCAAAGCACTCTGAAATCCATTCGGAAACCTTTAGAGATTTGAGAGATGGTTTTCGAACGCTGCCAATGCTCCTGTAAATATCTTACTGGTTGTCGAGGGTTCGGAAACAGTTGGGTTCCCTAAAAAAAGCGATTTCAACACTCGTAAAGTGTTTTGGAATCCTTTTTTCTTGATATTGAAAACCTAATCGTATTTTCAGAAACCCCGAGGGTAATTTTTAAACTTATATCGTCAAAAAATGAAGTTCAAGTCTTATGAGGCATACGGGAGTACACTTTCGGCTTCTGAAACGTTGCTCAGGCAAATCAAAGAGTTTTCGAGTATACTCAATCTCGAAAGCATATGATAACGAGCCGAAAACCGACCCTGAATTTTTATCTGATAAAACAAAAGATTTCTAAAGCTTTCAATGTTTTCAGAATATTTTGGAGAATGAAAAAGATCACAGTCCTCAAACCTCTCAAAAGAACATTTCACTACTCCAATTTTTCTTTTACATCTTCGCTATTGGTCAGCTTCAGATTTATTTATTGACCTGAAACTGCTCACAGTATTAAGTATAACCCAAGGGGGAACAAACTGATTTCTGTGCCTAGAAATCACTAGAAATCATTGGAAATCACTTGAAATCACCTGAATTCACTGGAAATTACTTTAAAAGCTTAAATATAGAAAATACTGAGCAGAAGTAGTTAAAAAAATAGTTGCAAACCATCAAGAACTATTAGAAAACGTGAGAAATTACCAGAAATCAAATTTCGTCATAGAAACCTTCTACTAGTACAGTTAAAAATACAACCCTGATTTCTAGTGATTTCCGGTGATTTCTTTGATTTTATTAATTCTAAATGTTTGTCAATATTTCATGTGGTTGCTCTTGACTTTTGATGATTTCTAGTGATTTCCCTTCATTTTTAAGCATTTTCTATAATTCCTATCGATTCACAATAAATATAGAAAAGCTAATTTCTAGTCACAGAAATCATTAGAAATCACGGCAATTACGGAAAACATGGAAATCAAGAAATCAGTTTGTTTCCCTTTGGTATAACCGATTTAATCAAGAATCTTCCCTTCTATGAATCATTTTGCTTTCCCAATCTGAAACCATTTTAATTTGATTCAAATAACGTTCTGTCATCTTTACGTTCTTGAAATGTTCTCGATTTCGAATACAATTCGATATGATTCAAATGGTAAGTTACAATTCAATCATAACAAAGTTATTTATTCTTTGTCTTTTTTTTTGGGTTGTTATCGATATGATTCAAATAGTAAATTAGAAAATAGATATAAATAATGGGTAAACTAAGGTTAAGGGATTAAGTTATGGGGATAGATATGTATTAAACAGAAAAGTAAATTAGATAGATGTCGATGTATGAATCTGTCAGAGACTACACATAAGGCGCTGCCTGAAATAGAATAAATGAATAGCGAAATGGATAGATTTATTGGCCCCAATTGTGAGAGCACAGATCGAGTGCATTGAAACCGTGATGAAATTTGAACTACGAAACTATTTTGAGTGTGAATTGAAAACGGTTTTGTACGGAACAATATTTTTACGAAACTCAGAAGAGGTTTCGATTTCGTTGCAAATCTCGGAACCTTTTTTAAGTTTCGTATGAAACCTTTCTTTTTTCCAGGGTACAGGAAAAACGTTGCTAGTCAATTTCACATGATTAAAAAGTTGAATATCAATGAGTGATTTACATTTATTCCGTGTATAGAGGTGTTTCTGAGTAGTTCAGTATAGAACGTCTCATTCTTCAAGGATGTAAGAGAAAATTCTGAAAATTATACCCTATATAGAACAATATATGGGCTACAATTTGGGATAATTTGATTCGAAATAACCATGAAGGTCTTAGGAATGCGACATCAAAAAAGTGCCCAGAGCTGATAAGGCCATGATAAAATCACAACCCAAATGAATCCTATACAGATAGATATTTTCCAGCTGGCTCTATCGAACGGTGAAAACCGCAGCTCGATAGCTCAAAGTGAATCAAAAGTTATTCAAAAAATAGTCGTTAGTACTTTTAAGAAAGTCTGACGTTAAGCTTCCGTTCCTAAAAAAAGTCGATTTTCACGAAAAATTTTGAAATTGAGATGAATGCATGGGAAGATAGCCGGTGATCTGATCTTTCGTAAAGGATAAAAGTTTTAGCTTAGCACCTCGCTTTTTCCAAAAATTTGTGAAGATTTCCCTCATACCCTGTTCGTAAAACAAGTTGTTGTCTGAAAAAACCGAAAAATCTTTTTCATTTTTTCTCAGTTTGCAGTTTCTCGATCGCGCATCCAAAATCTCTCTGTCGAGATTCATTCAATATATCAACTTTTATTTTTGTTTGAAAGAGCATGTCAAGATGCAGGGCATGACGAGGCCGGATTTTTAAATCAAATACTTTTTTATTATATATACAGGCACTCATGTGATTTGATGACCATTTTTCGAGTACTTTTTCACGCTGTCATTGAACTTGTAATCCCTTTTTGGACTTAAAAAGTGAGTATTTAAAAAAAACGGTCTCATCATGCCCTGCATCCTAAGACGCTCTTTCAAACGAAAAGAATTGATATATTGAACGAACCTGGACAGAAAAATTTGGGTTGCCAAATGAGCTATTTTTGACTCTTGTTTGACCAATAACTCCCTCAAACATAATGATTTAGAGCTGAAAATTTTTATTGTAGCTTTCCCATTCCAATCCTAGCATATTCTTCAAATTTCAGCTCAATTGAACACTCCTAGGTCAAGATCGATTTTTTAGAAGGGGAGGGGAAGAGGCGGAGGCTTAATCAATATCTCTTATTAAAATAAATGTTAATTTATTTCGAATGAATCAAAAATAAACAAAGGTGACTGGTATTGAAGAAGTGTTTGATCTTCTAATTAAGGCTAGTATAAAATATAATTTTAATATGGATAAAATTTGGAAGGATCAACTTGTATACCATTATCACATTGTTCTTGATGCTTTTCATCAAGATATTTTAAAAGAACATCTTCATAAGCTTTTTTTCCTTTGTATCGAGCAACATCATCTGGCCAACTGCGTATAGCTGAAGCTAATCGTCCTGGAACACCTGGTTCTTTAGCTATCTCAACAATTGGAACAAAATAAGGACGAATAGTAAAAAGAATGGCTCCACTTCTTGGTAATCGTCTAAGTGTTTGTCTTTCACTACGAAAATGAATATATTGAATAGGTGGATTTGGTTTAGCATTTTGCCATCCAATACCAAATGTATCTTCAGGTCCAATTGAATTTGACCAAGCTAGATCTTCGTCTGTTTGAATAAAATAATTATGTCGAATAACAGGATGTTGAGGAGTCATCTTTTGAAAATATCTTTCCATACTATTTTTTAATTTTTCTTTAAATTTCGGAACATCACCAGACATATGAATTTGTGCAAGAGGCATATTAAATTTATCTTGAAGACGCCAAAAACCAGGAATAATAATTGAGCCAGCTTTAAGATAATATTGTCCATCATATCCTTCTAACATAATAGCTAAATCATCTTGAATTAAAAGTGATGCATATTTAAGAGGATCATCACTATTTATCGAATATATTTCTCCTGTTGCTTTTATTCGAATTTGTTTTTCATTATTATTAAATTCATATTGAAATAATGATGGATAACGATGAACTAAATATTCACTAAGTAATTCCATTGTTTCAAGTGCAGCATCATGTGCTTCAGGTGCTGTTTTACATAAATGAGAAGCTCTTTCTTGAGAAAGACGATCAAGTTTTTCTTTATGATATCTTATCCATTGATTATCTAATTCAATCCAATCATTCCAATCTAAACGTCGAATTCCCATTGTTATAAAATAATCAGGTCCATACTTAAATGGACGATATAATAATGGACGAGTACTCTCTATTGACCAATCAGGATAAGGAACTGGAAGTGGAGCCTTAAATGAAACTGGATTCCATTTCGGAAATGTTTTCTTCGTACTAGATTCATTTGTTATAGATTTTCTCCATACAGTTTTGATGATCTTTAATAATGATAGAATAATTACCAAAATTGTTATTATATATTCTAACATTATGAGTTGTTTCTAAAATAAATAATAAAAAAATAAAAATATTTTTCTTTCATAACAATAAATTATAATTTTTATTTCAAAATATTGATAAAAAAATATTTATTTATTTCATATTGGTTTATCTCTACTACTTTAGTTCTTTAATATTGTTTAATATATAAAAATTTTATCAATGAACAATCGAATAATAATAATTATCTTAATAAAATGATTGAATAGAAATTGAAATCAATATTAAGAATATGTAAAAAAAAATTCATTTTTATAGAGATTTTTTTGTTAAACAAGAATAAAAATAAAATTTATCTCTATTATATTAAACAATGAAACTTTAACATAAGATAAGATAAGATAAGATAAGATAAGATAAAAATATTTACAGTCACATTTAATTAAGATTACTCTTTACCGTATTTTATTAAGTTAACGACATTTTTTCTTTTATTCAATTATTATTCTTCGTTTATGATTAATAAATATAGTTGAATAATAGATAACTATAAATGAAAAATAAATAAGAAAATAAATAAATATATTTTTATATTTATATTAGAATAATTGTTCGTTTATTGTTTATCATCTGACTAAACAAAACAAAGTAAATAGACTTTTCTTAATGGATTCGATCTTATTAGATTCCATTAGAAAATTGTCTTTAATAGATTCATTTTCATGTCTATTTACCTTAAGATAAATTTAATTTTTTCTCTTTTTCACTATCTTCTCTATTCATTTTTTTTGTCTTTTTCTTATTTCTATAATTATTACATAGATATTATTATTTTACGTCGAATTCAATTATTATTATTATTAATCTTTATTTTATTTTCTTCATTATTATGTTAATTATTCTGTGAGACAACGAGATAATCAAACAAAGTTTCCATTTTTTAAAATTCTTTTTCATTTATTTCGTCGAATAATGTTTTATTATTATCCAATCTAGTTGTATGTATAAAAAGAAATGAATTTATTTTTCTATGATTTCCATGTTATTTTGAATAAACTTACTAATATAGAAGAGAAAGATAATTCTCTGACTAATATCAATGCTTTCGATGATGATTTAGCTCGAATGCAATTTGAATCTTCAAGCTCGGAACAATATATTGATGATAACGTCAATTTACAATTTTTAAATTAAATTTAATCTCTCTTGTTTTTGTTTTTATTTTTGTTTTGTCCGAGAAAATAAAAGCAAATTTCTTATCTCATATGAATTATCCGATTTTAACCTAATTAGATAATTAATCATTTTAGTTTTCAAGATTTTATTTTATTATTGATAAAATCAAATATTTAATTTTTTTTATTAATAAAATAGACGAAATATGAATTTGTTTATTAAATTTAATATAAATAAAAGTCAATTGAAAAATAAAATAAACGATCATATTAAGAATAAGTATTAAAATCTACATTGAATGAAATTTATTTTAGTAAAATCGACTTCATCTAAACTAGGAACAATATTTAAGAATAAAATTGATGAACAAAGTAAAAGTAGATTTTTAATTGTCTTTTATATTAATTTTTATAAATAAAATATAGTCTGATGTAGAGTTTAATATTGATTCTTAATATGATTGTTTATTTTATTTTTCAATTGACTTTTAATTCTATAAGTCAAAATAAGATAAATAAAAATTAGATATTTTATCGTGTTTAAAAAAAAAAAGATTAAAATAGATTTTGGAAAATGATTTTAAATATATTTATAGGGATTTTTGTTTTTNCCATTGTTGTTTCTTCTAAATTTATTTCATCATCTTCGTCATTTCTCATAGAATCACCTTTTATTTTTTCATTTTTAATGGTTAAACCTGAACCGTCAATAGTCATGTGTGTAAAATCTGTATTACTTCGAGTTGCTTTATTGCTCATAAATTAAACTTTTGCTCGCCACGCGGGACTTGTATCAAGAATAACAATGATAATAATACTTGAAATGATAGTACGACCACCGGCTAGTGCACCATTTGTTAGGTTCCTTTCCGTTTTTATTTTCAATAATGAGGAAAACCTAAACAAGTGTAATACACAAAAATAACAAAAAGAAAAAACAACAAGAACACGACCACACTCTGGTCTAAAAAAACAACAACAACAAGGAGGGAGAGAGGGAGAGAGGGAGAGAGAGAAAAAACACACACACATAGTTCACTACGAAGAACAACAAAACAACCAACATGTATATATGTGTTGGCCTGAAGGATCGTCATCTATATATAGATGGCAGATCCTGACAACACCGATTCGAAAATCGGAAGCTTTGTCTTTTTACTCAGTTCTACCTTAGTCACAACCGATCGATAATGTGAGCGTAAGACACCACGTGCTGTGCCGATTCGTCGAACAATTTCACCATCCTGTTTTCCATGGTTCGAGAATTGTACGCCTAGGTATTTGAATTTATTCACTTGCTTCACCAGGTTGTTGTTCAGATGAAGGTTACATTTATTAGGTTCTCTTGAAACCACCATTAATTCCGTTTTCTTCTCGCTGATCTTCATATCGAAGGCTGAACATATCTCTTGGAATCGATCGAGAGCATCTTGTAGTTCATTTGCTGACTCTGCAAGGCGAGCCACATCATCAGCAAAGAGAAGAGAGTCCACCTTGACATCACCTATTTTGAGACCGGTTGGACTGGTACTTGTTCGAGATAACTTGTCCATGAATACCATAAATAAGAGTGGAGATAATACACATCCTTGTCGAAGTCCAACTTGAACCTGCAAACAATCTGATTTGCTACCGTTTATTCGGACGCAGCTTTGGCAGTTGTTGTATAAAGATTGAATTGCAGCTAGGAGTTGCCCATGGATTCCATGTTCCTTTAATACTTTCCAGAGTATGTCACGTGGTACTCGATCGTAGGCCTTCTCCAAATCAATGAATAATGTATAAGCGGATTTGGCAAATTCCCATGACTTCTCCAGTATTTGCTGTAGTGTGAATATTTGATCAGTTATTCCTCTTCCTGCCCGGAAGCCACATTGTGTTTCTTGGATCTGTGGTTCAATGATATTTCGACATCTTCGTTCGATTATTCTAGTAAAGACTTTTCCAGGAAGGCTTAGCAAAGTGATTCCTCTGTAGTTTGAGCACTCTTTTTGATCTCCTTTTTTGAATATTGGAACCACAATACCAGTCTGCCACTCCAGTGGAGCTTTACGGGTTTTTCAAACCACACGGCAGATTCGGATAAGTCACTGTATACCCCCAGAACTGAGAGCTTTTAGCATCTCAGGTCTGATTTCATCTACTCCCACAGCTTTACCGGATTTAAGTGATTTCATGGCTGTTATGACTTCAGTTGTAGATATGTCATTGGATCCATTGATATCAGGTTCACTTGATTGTATGTCTTGTCCAGCCGATGGGTTGTATAAATCTGCAAAGTATTCTTTCCACCGATTTTAAATGTCTTCTTCTCGTGTCAGAAGTCGACCTGAAGTATCTTCCACTACACGAGTTGATTTTTGTCCACCTTTATGAAGTCGCCGGATGGTTTGCCAGAATAATTTGTTTGCCGAGTGGTGGTTGTATTCTAGTTGATGACCAAAATTGTCCCATGATTTTGCTTTATCTCGTTGTTGTTTATAGCTTTGCCAATTTTCTGGTGTTTGTCGTTGTAACCATCCACGATATGCTGTTTTCTTTTCGCCGAGAGCTTTTCGAACTTCTTCAGTCTACCATCCTGTTTTCTTCTGTCCATATTGGAGTCCGACGCGCTTTGTTCCACATGTATCCGTTGCAGCCTCCAATAATGCCATGCGAAACAAACGCCATTCTGATTCACTATCGACCTCCCTCGGTGGTAGTTGGGAGTATCGTTGATCAACTATTTTTGCGTAGTTTCGACTGATTTCTTCATTTGCTAATGCTTCCCACCTTATTCTTGTAATTTTCTTTGGTTTCATCTTTCGTATTGATTCATTCGATGATAACTCTAAAATACAAAAGACTAAGTGATGATCTGTTGCTAGTTTTGCTGCAGGTTTGGCCCGAACATTCCTCACTGTACGTCGTAGGTTGTCGGATACAATGACGAAGTCGATTAATGAACGTTGTGTCGTAGGATCTCCTGTCTTATACCATGTATATTTGTGGATGTTCTTGTGTTGAAAGAATGTATTCATTATTGATAAACCACCACCTGCACAAAAATCTAATAATTGTCGGCCTTGGTTGTTAATATCATCATCTCCATATCGTCCAATTATACCATTCCATGTTTGTGAGTCGTTCCCAACATGTGCATTGAGGTCTCCAATTAATAATATAGAATCTGTTTGAGGAACATTTTCCATAGCTGTAAGAGCTGCATCTAGGAAGGTCATGTAGTCTGCTTCGATGTTTGGTGCATAAGCTTGAATAATTGTTAGGTTTGTTTTCTTTAATTGAAGCCGTATAAGAGCGACTCTTTCATTGATTGGTTTCCATTCCAGAACGGCATCGGCTAGACGAGGATGCAAGAGTATTGCTACACCTGCTTGTGCATGTATTGATGGATCGACGCCCGAATAAAATAATTGCCATCCATTGTTCAGACTCAATGTTCCTTTGCCTTTTCGTTTCGTTGATGAAATTCCAAGTATGTCCAGTTGATATTTTTTCGCTTCTTCAGTTAATTCAATTTCCTTGCCAGTAAGTGAGGTTATATTCCATGTGCCAATATTCATTTTGCATTGATTTTGTTGATTTCGATGTTTAGTTCTGCTGAACGTGCCGTTTAGGCATCGCGCCGCCCCCCCCTCCCCCCCCATGTCTTCTAGGACAGTTGGCGAAACCATCGCTAGTCATTTGTTGATGTTGAGTAGTTGGTTCCCGTAACTTTTTCGAGTTGATCCCGATCGATCTACGCGTACCAGTGATCGATCGACCACCAGACGCTTGCATATGAGCTCTGTCCCCAGGCCTGGCTCTAGGGACATGCCCCGGTTTCCCACATCCGGGCGAGGTACGAGTATTATTTGTTGTATACATCATGAGAGGTGTGCAGAGGCTCGTTAGCGTTATCCAGGAAACACCGCGTGGGGGAGAGCTTGACTTGTTTCCCATAATTGCTATTGTTATTTATATTAAAGATAATTAAATTCTCCGTGATCTTCTTACTAATGAATTTATTCATCTTCAAGTTGATATTCAACATGAGGGAAAAACAAAATACTCTACAACTCTATCATATTTTTGAAAATAAACAGTATAAAACTGATACGAATATCATATTAGATTTTAAGCAAAAATCATTTATTAGTTTATTCGAGCTTTCAATAAGATACATTTATCAGCATCAGGAACAACAAACAATAGAAAAAAGAACACTATATATATATGAAGTAGCTTAATTGTTAGATGATTGATAGATCAATTATGAGGGTGTGGGTTGTGTATTTGATCTTTCGTTTTGGAGACATCCACACCCAAATCCTCACCCTCACGAATTCGAAATGTTTTGTCGTGTCAAATATGTGACACCAGAAATCTTTCTTTGATCATCCGACGGTGTTGTAAAAATACTGAAAATTCATATTTTTCGGCATTATCATGACGACTTTTCACCATATGCGTAAGAACCCATTCATCACACACAATCAATCATCTATTTCTCCTTATCATCTTGATCCTTTAGTTCAGCTTTCAAACTTCGTTTTACTTCAATTTTTACTAGCTTGAACTAGTGAGTTTCATTTTTGCAGCTATACAGTTATGGATTTGTTTTCTGGTCAGACTCTCTTTTCGATTGCTTCGTAGATATGAGAAGCTTTTTGTATGGATTCTGCTGTACGCCGTGCTCCCACACAGAGAATGCAACGAAAATTGATGAAACCAACCAATATGGCCAGTGTCTTCTCTATTCTTGTGCGTTCGAATGAAGTGTCTGCTGTTTGGTGTACACGGAGAAGCGATGGACGCTGCATGCGTCGACTTTCTGACCATAATTTTCCGTAATGAGTATGCAATCTGTCAAGAGGCTCGAGAACTCAAGGCGCATGGAGTTACACAAAACTAGCGACTTGAATCGCTGAGAGCAAGTGATGTCATATTTGAAAAAATGTTTCTTCAGTGTATAGGCCTCCATTTGTTTACGGATTTTCCTAAGCTAGTATCAAATTTCTCGTAGCAACTTGAATGAGAAAAAGAAATTATTTTGATCAGTGACCATTTATGCGTACTAACTACTTGCTTATAATCTCTGGCAGTTAGTGAATAAGAACGGCAAAGCTCAGATGCGTGTTAATAATATGAAGATCAATTACGCTCTCATGAACTTCAACAGTCGGTCTTTCAGATGACTCTCGTAGTTGTCCAAAAAATTCATATTTGAAATATGATACCACCAAAACTTTTAAACTTATTGTAAATTTAAATTTTTGTGTCTTTCCCATGTCTCAGTCGAGAGATTGGTTCTATTATTTTCTTCAACTACTCTCAGATTTCTCAGACAATATTGAAATGTACCTTGCTTCTTCGTTTTTTTTAAATTCGATTTTCATTTGTTTTATGTGTTTATTATTTATTAATCATCATTGAAATAAAAAACAAATGAATCAATGAAGAGTTTTGCCTATAATTGTGATATTAGTTACGTGTTGCACCCATTGTCCTTTGTTCTAAATGTTTGTATGGAGTAATTGGAGTATATTTTGATGGTTGCTCTATACATTTTTTACATGGCAATGTTTGAATAACACAATTCATATCTGGTCCACTAAAGAATAATATTGAATACCTTACTTGTTTTACAGCTGCAACACGATGTAATATAGATATCCAGTAATTATTTGTCCATCTTTCAATAAATTCACCGCCAATTAATAATAAAGTGTCTGGTTTAGATTCTACACGAAACCATCTTCCATTTACGTTCACTTCTAAACCTAAAAAATAAAGAATATCCCAGCAATATGTCTTGACATCAATAGAAAAAAAGACTTCATTTACAAATATGCTAGACATCTCTGACGAGAGAACAACCTCAAGTGTCCAATCACTTTTCATATAAAAGTGATGAGTTTATTAATATATAGTCGAGGAAACTGATTCCAAATATGTTTGTTGGAGCTGCCATTTGAGCATTGGAAAAACAGTTTTTCACTGTAAACATTTTTTTCCAGATTTTAGTTCTGATCTATTCAGGTTGTAAACTAGGGACAGATTCATATCTGGCATAAGCTCCAAAAGTCTAAAAATAGCCAATACGACCGATTTTTCTAGAAATAATTAGGAAATTGGAGAAAATGTTGTGTTTCTGTTTTCTCGATCTTCTGAAAAGTATAGCTAGATGTAGTGTTCTTTTTAATTTTGATGTAAAAGCGCCAGAGGTTTTTCTTTTTTACGAACCTGGTACATTATCGTTGTGTATTAATGTAAATCCAAAATAATCTTGATGTTCTCCAAATGCTAATTGTTCTTCATTTTTCGTTGGTAAGTATTTAGTTAATCTTAAAGTAAACCTAGCATTATCATTCGTATAATTTTTATCAAATGTGTTTTCATCTAATTCCAATGCCATATCAGCAATACTATGAACATAAGAAATGAGTTGTCTTGCTTTAAATATATATTGTGGTATAACATCACGAAATAATTCAGGTAATTGATCAATAGAAAAATTAAATTGTTTTGATTGAGATTTGAAAGGGTATAAAAAAGCTTCGATAGAATCAGAAGATGATGCCTTTTTTTGTCCCTTATAGTTGGCAACAGACTCTAATCCTGTTGGTTTATATCCCAATGTATCATAATATGAGTCATTTACATAATATTTCAGTTTTGTGTCCAAATTTAATGAAAAAAATTCCTTTGCTTCATCCATTAATTCTGATGTAATATTATTATTTATTAATCGAATAACACCATATTCATGAAAAGTTTTATCAAATAATAATGCAATTTCTTTTTTCTCTTCATTTGTGCCACTTATAAACTTTGACATATCAATTTCATTAATGTTTAATGAACACATATTATCACATTGGTTTTGATTATAATCATTATCAAATGTATTAACATACATTATAAAGAGAAAAATAATAATAAATTTCATATTGTAGAGTCCCAGAAAAAATCTATCTAAAGCATGAATAATAAAACAGTGACCACTTACATTTTTTAGAAGAATTAACCACACAAAGACGAAACTTTTTGTAAAGACATCAATCTATAAACATACATTAAGAGAGAGTCGCTGAATGTCATCAAGAAATCACGTCACATGATCAAATTTTGTAAAGGAAAAAACTTTTTTTGATCGACATCTGATATTTTTAAAAGCAGACTATTTTCAATTTTCTCAAAAGTCCGATATCTCGTATTTTCCTTCTATCTGAGCCATTTCGCAATCGATTATTTTTAGCAACGTCTCACTCGAAACAGCGGGAAAAGCTGAACGAGACGTGACATTTTTAACGTCTCGAATATAATATTTAGGGTTCAGAATATGAAAAAACTCCAAATATGAAGCGTCAGTTTCTGAATATTTGGTAAAAACTGTGCAACTATGATTTATTACCTAAAAATTTGAAATCTCTGTCTTGTAGAGAAAACGATTTTCTACAAGATACACTATAGTTTATATTTTAAAAGCCTCAGGCAGGTGACCGAAAATGCAATATATTAACCACAGCTACTAAAAATGTCGTCACTTTCGACGACTAAAAGCGTGAAAAATTCATTTTCAAGTAACATCCATTTCACATTCGAGATCAGCACGAAAAACTGGGTCGAAGGACATATATTTCATTGAAAACAATTTTTCAGCAAAATTCCACCCCTACTACCCTTCAGTTCTTGTTTTGATAAATTTTGACGAAAAATTGTTTTTAATGAAACATGTCAGTCGAATCACTTTTTGGTGCTGATCTCGAATATGACATAGACTTTGCTGGAAAATGAATTTTTGATGGTTCAAGTCGTCGAATATGAGGACATTTTTAGTAGTCACTGTCAGTATTTTGTAGTTTCGGTCACCTCCCTGAGGCTTTTAAAATAAAAACTATAGCGAACAGATCAATATGATAGATGGATAGATATGCAGGCAGAAAGATAGAGAGATAAGTAGACAGAATGATAGAGCGATAGCTAAGTTGACAGATAGTAAGATACATAGATAGTTAGATAGATGGTTGAATAGGTAAATAGACAGATAGCTAGATGGATAAGTAGGGAACAGTACATGCAACCAATGAATATAATGTAACGCGAACCTTCTTTACAGGTGTCTGGAAAAGATTTGGTACGGAACCAGTTTCATATAGAAACAAAAAGTGATTCCGAGTTGGTACCTACGTGAAGAATCTTTCTTTTTGCTTCCGTGTGGAACTTGTTATTAGAGAGTTCGCTAAAAGTGCTCTAACATCCTAATTATGTTGCCATTTGAGCGTATCTGTCATGTGCTGAACAGTAGGATTAATATTCCACTTGCGCGCACGTAGCCATCGAAGTAGAACAACATCGGGATTGTCAGCGCTGATGAAATAAAGAAACGCCTCCCCATAGACAGAATCTTGTGCATTACATATATATATATCCCTTTAACTGACGCCGACGTATATATACGTCATGAACTTTATTAGTGTACAAAACTAGCACAATCAATCGTAATGCATATTTTTTTAGATTCGTCTGCATAGAGATAAGCATCAAATAGCTGAAGCTTGTGATACCATCGTTTCATAATGGCATGCTCTAGAATTATGTATTAGAAAAAAGAGTGTGCATAGAGAACAGTCAGTGTGGTGTACATATGGTTGTCTTTTGTTCTCTTGCTNGGTTTCTTTCGTCTTTTTCTTTTTACAAACGGCGGTATCTGCACCCCTTCCGTCTAACGCTCCTCCTTTTTCCGGACTTGCGACCGGCACAGAGATCACTGGCTTGTGATCCCCATGGTGGTGTTTGTTCAGCCGATGGGTTGTTTAAATCTGCAAAGTATTCTTTCCACCGATTTAAAATATCTTCTACTCGTGTCAGAAGTCGACCTGAAGTATCTTTCACTGAACGAGTTGATTTTTGTTCACCTTTATGAAGTCGCCGAATGGTTTGCCAGAATAATTTGTTTGCCGAATGGTGGTTGTATTCTAGTTGATGGCCAAAATTGTCCCATGATTTTGCTTTTGCTTTTTGCTTCAGTTACAAGTTTCTTTGCTATAACTCGTAGTTGTTTATAGTGTTGCCAATTTTCTGGTGTTTGTCGTTGTATCCATCCACGATATGCTGTTTTCTTTTCACCGATAGCTTTTCGAACTTCTTCAGTCCACTATTCTGTTTTCTTCTGTCCATGTTGGAGCCCAACGCGCTTTGTTCCACATGTATCCGTTGCAGTGTCTAATAATGCCATACGAAACCAACGCCATTCTGATTCAGTATCGACCTCCATCAGTGATAGTTGGGAGTATCGTTGATCAACTATTTTTTGCGAAGTTTCGACTGGTTTCTTCATTTGCTAATACTTCCCACCTTATTCTTGTAATTTTCTTTGGTTTCATTTTTCGTATTGGTTCATTCGATGATAATTCTAAAATGCAAAAGACTAAGTGATGATCTGTTGCTAGTTCTGCTCCACATTTGACCCGAACATTCATCACTGTACATCGTAGGTTGTAGGATACAATGACGAAGTCGATTAATGAACGTTGTGTCGAAGAATCTCCTGTCTTGTACCGTGTATATTTGTGGATGTTCTTGCGTTGAAAGAATGTATTCATTATTGATAAACCACCACTTGCACAAAAATCTAATAATTGTCAGCCTTGGTTGTTAATATCATTATCTTCATGTCGTCCAATTATACTATTCCATGCTTGTGAGTCGTTCCCGACATGTGCATTGAAGTCTCCAATTAATAATATCGAATCTGTTTGAGGAACGTTTTCCATAGCTGTAAGAACTGCATCTAGGAAGGTCATGTAGTCTGCTTCGATGTTTGGTACATAAACTTGAATAATTGTTAGGTTTGTTTTCTTTAATTAAAGTCGTATAAGAGCGACTCTTTCGTTGATTGGTTTCCATTCTAGAACGGCATCGGCTAGACGAGGATGCAAGAGTATTGCTGCACCTGCTTTCGCATGTATTGATGGATCGACGCCCGAATAAAATAATTGTCATCCATTGTTCAGAATCAATGTCCCTTCACTTTTTCTTTTCGTTGATGAAATTTCAAGTATGTCCAGTTGGTATTTTTTCGCTTCTTCTGTTAATACAATTTCCTTGCCAGTAAGTGACGTTATATTCTATGTACCAATATTCATTTTGCATTGATTTTTGTTGATTTCGATGTTTAGTTCTACCGAACGTGCCGTTTAGGCATCGCGCCAGCCCCCCATGTCTTCTAGGACAGTTGGCGAAACCATCGCTAGTCGTTTGTTGATGTTGAGTAGTCGGTTCCCGTAACTTTTTCGAGTTAATCTCGGTCGATCTACGGGTACCAGTGATCGATCGACCACCAGACGCTCGTATATGAACTCTGTCCCCAGTCCTGGCTCCAGAAACATGTCCCGGTTTCCCACATCCGGGCGAAGTACGAGTATTATTTGGTGTGTACATCATGAGAGGTTTGCAGAGGCTCGTTAGCGTTATCCAGGAAACACCGCGTGGAGGAGAGCTTGACTTGTTTCCCCGTTACAGGCAATATGATTCATTCATCGATAGCAATAAAACGATTCGACGTCATTATAAACGAAACAAATAATCATTTTTTGGAACAAAAACGAAGAAACAGCCAATGCATTGAGGGCGTTGTTGAGAAGAGAACAGCCACATCCAAGGAGAAAAACAGCGGCTCCTGGTGGCATCTACCAGGAGCCTCTCGAATCCAAAAGAAGTTGCCAGGAGCCAACAGAATCCGTAGAAATCTCCTGGAATCAAGGATCCCAAGAGCCGCTTTTCCGCCTTAGTCACACTTGAACCCTCCAGGCGGATTATGATATAGTTTATCTTATTTTGGTTGATGTTATGACTATGGTCGTGTTAGAATATTTATGTTCAGGTTTTGTTTAAGCATTTTGTTGATTTATTTATAATAGTAATCACATTGTGCACGATCGTCTATACGTGTTCAATAAAGTTTTTTTTCATGACAGAGGTGCGCGAATACAAGTACAATTTGTGCTCTCAATTACTCATATACTTTATAAGTCAAATATGTACTCTGATCGTCATATGTACTGAAGAAAAGTTTAGAATTGATGGGGGGAGGGGGGGGGGAGGATACTCTCATGTTGGTACATCAGAGTACTTCCCTACCGATTCTAAACTTTTCCCCAGTACATACGACGATCAGAGTACATGACAGTACGTGAGAGTACATCCCCGTTGATTCTAAATTTATGGAAGTGATGTTGATTTCAGAGTACATTTGTACTCGCACTTGCGCAGCTCTCTTTCATGATTTTGGTCAAGATTCTCATATTCGTGATATTTTAGTCTCGAAATATTTTTCTTTCGACATTTTCCCTTTCTACCTTTGTCCATCATACCTTTTTACCAGTGATTATTCATTTTATTATTGAAATTTCCGCCAAAATAGCCACAACCAAGTAAAAGCTTCATCTATTACTAGTGAAACATTTATTTCGATCACCTCACTGTTTTTCATTTTGAAAATTTCACATTCCTATTGTATTTTAATACTTATTATTAGACATGTACCGAGCTTTTTTTCGTTATTTTTCAACACTTTTATATTACAACCTTGAGTTCTCAAATGACAGGCTCAATCTTGTGGCCGAACCTATTAAAAGATAGACAAAACATTTCTCTACAAAATGAGATGTTCCAGAGTTCTGTGTTGCAATTATTGTAATTTTTATTTGCAGTGCAAAAAAATGTCTCGATCGAGCCTAGGCTCGGTCAGGCCGGTTTGTAAATTTCTCACAAAAACCAAAAGAATTGCTGCACAGAGATGAGGTATGTCTCATCTGATAGAGTAAAATGTTCTCTATCTTTTGATACGTTCGATTACACGATTCAGCTTTTTATTTCGCAGCTTAAGCTTTAATACGAAAAAACTCGGAAATAACGCAAAAAAAGCTCGGTACATGCCTACATATTATTGGCTTCTAGATATTTTGTTTATACATCTTTTCGTTGTGAAAAATTATTTTGATTCGTTCACTTGTTCAAGGGTAAGCTATTCCAGTTTTTTTAAACACTTTTCAAAGTTTTTTCTTTTTAATTTATATGTTGGTTGCTGGAAACAGAACAACAAAGCACTGCCACCCAGATAGAGTAAATTGATTTTTATATCTTAACTAAAGTGAGACACTCATTGCATAATAATCAAATTCAAATAATGGTGGGAATTAATGCAAAAAATAAACATGTTCTTGATACAATGTATATTTGTTCCGTGTGTTCATTGATATTGATGGATCCTATCCAATTAAGTAAATGTAGGCATCGGCAGTGTCAGTCATGTTTCGATACTCAACATGAGTGAGTTTTTTTTATTAATTTTTAATGTGACTGTTTATTATTTATGTTGAAGAATTACAATTAAATGTCGACAGTGTCAATCTGAAACACCACGAACTGAAGTAACATAACTGTTCATACTTAAATAGAAAATATATGCGATTTATGTAGATTATGCTCGATCGAGGCTTCAAAGATGACATGAAATCCCTGTCCATCGAATGTTTATTTTGTCAATGGACTGGAATCTTAGATGATTATCAAGTATTTTATTGCATATTAATTTATTTCTGAATTTTCTTTCATTGGTTTCTTAAGAAACATATCAATGAATCTCATTCAAATCTAATATGCGAATATTGTGGCGAAAAGTTCAACTTAATGACTGAATTCACCGAGCATCAAGTCTTTGTATGTCAAAAACAGATGGTTGACTGTATGTTGTTAAATTTTGGCTGTAATGAAAAAGTATGAAATTGCCAAAGCGAAATTAACGCATGAAAAGTCTCATCCTTTAGATTATTCATGCCAAAATGGAAGAACATTATTTAGCTGAACAACATCAACAGGTCATAATGAACTTTGCTCGTCAAGTATTACTGCAATTAAACGATAAACACAGGGATAATGATCTCTCTCGAATGACAACTGCAGAAACCTGTAATCTTGCTGCAGCTCAAATACAAGAGTTGTATGAAATGCTCGATATCTTGTCAGGTAGTATCGAGGCATTGAACAATGATCAACAACATCTAAGCAATGAGTCACTTCAAGTTCAAATAGCATTACCAACATTGACAGAAAAACTATCAAAAATTAAATTATCTGTTGAGGAATCAAATGCTTTTTTGGAAGGAATGAAATATAATCAAGAGATTTTGAAACAAGAGTTCGCATCACTACAAGAAAAAGTCAATGATTTGCAAAATGTTTCATATGATGGAACATTGGTATGGAGAATTACAAATGTTAAAGAGAAAATGAGTATGTTTAGCAATTATCCTTATGTTGAATTGTAAAAACAGAGCATTTTATTCAAAAAAGAATCGAAGAATAAGTTTTTATTCGATTTCTCTAACATCAACAAATAAAGTTCTACGATTATAAAATGATGACAGAAATTCAAATAGCATATCACTAAATAATAGAAACAATATTTTCATGAAATGTATTTTTTCACTCAAAGTCGAGAAAGAGAGCGAGTGTAGATTTTTTTGACAAAAATGAAAGTTTTTGAAAATAGTTGAAATTCAACTACGTTAACTCGATTTTGAATCTTCATTTGGAAAATCAGATTAGTTTTTATCCATATCCTAATTCTCTTATTGGAATCTGCTGAATAACAGTGAAAAAGCAGGTAAATCTAAAATCATGTCTTGAGAACAGTTTTGCTAGTTTGGCGTTGACTAGTCAGTGCTGTGGGTGTGGGTAGGCGTTGGTGTATTGTTTTTCACCTCACCGGTACCCACACACCCACGCCCTTTGGATGTTTTTATACGATTGTGTAACACTTCAAAAAAAGCTGTCAAACCACACGAAAACTAATTTCATGAGATGAATAGATAAAAAGATTTGATCATCATTTATAGTTTGGTCCTATTTATACTTGATGCTCGATGGCCATTGAATATTTCACTCGACTTGTGAATAATAAAAATGAGAACAATATAACTAATTCTATCAGAGTTTATTTTCGAACACCTGAAGTGATCATTTGATGTAGAAGAAATCACATTTCTTGAGGTGGTTGATGTCAGTAGTTATCGATTCTTATTCTTCCTATATTCTCATTTCTCGTCTTCTTCGTCCATTATATTTTGTCTCAATATTAGCTTATGCACAGTCTGAAAAACAATCATCAATTTATTCACCTCCATTTTATTCATCTCCAACTGGTTATAAAATGAGAGCTCGTTTATATATATATGGCGACGGTAATGCTTGTCGTACACATATGTCACTGTTTTTTGTGCTCATGCGAAGTGTAAACGATGCGATTCTCAAATTTCCGTTCCACTATAAAGTCGCCGTTTGCTTGTACGATCAAACGCCTGCACAACGACATATCATCGATTCATTTCGACCCGACATTAAATCGAGTAGTTTTCAGCGACCTCGATCGGATATGAATATAGCCAGTGGTATACCCAAGTTTTTTCCGTTAGAAATGATTCAGCAAGAAGGAAACCCTTATATTCAAGAAGATGCAATGTTTATCAGAATCATGGTTGATTTTGGAGATATGCACAAAACATTGTTGCCGTACGCTTTGAGTCTCAATCCAGGCCTGCCAATTCATGTTCAACAAGCAATGATCAAGAAAGAAGCAGAACGAAGATCTCAGCAACAATCCGGCAAGCAGCTTCAGACACATGAGGAATAATCTTCTACTATTTAATTCACATCAATGATTGAATCTCTAATCAAGAACATACGTTTTTTGAAGTTATAAATCTTGCTTTTTTCTGATTGAATATCTAAACTAGGTGTGATTTGAAATATTTCTGTTGGGTGATAATCATGCAATGCTTATCGAACTTTCCTATCTGATATAATCTCTTCTTTGTCAGATAATAGGAAACTTTTAATAAACCTGAATTATTTGTTTTAAAAAACTACTATTCTGGTAGTGTTTCGAAAGTTTTGTAAAACATCAATACGTGTGTGTGTGTACTATTGGTTCGGTTTTATTTTAAAACAAATATAAACTCCTAAACGAAATAGATACATTTTCTTTTGAAAGTAATTCAACCTCTATTTAGGTTTTTGAAAAATTTCTGTCGATTGTTAATATTTAACGATTTATTGCATTACATTCTATGTATCTTAATGTAAGAGAAGTTAGCAATCGATGCCACATTTTTCGCAAACAACTTGCGCCATTTTGTGAGCCAGGTACAACTTGAAGAGTTTTATCGAATGATGTACTCGAATTTTCAATGAAAGCTACTCGATCAACATGACAGCAAAAAGAATATTTTTCCCTACAGGAGAAAAGCATTAAAAAAGGTTTTCTCAGAAGATTCGTTCTACTTCGTGAGCCACTCGCCAACTATAGCTGGTTAGATGCAGCTTGTTCAGTGCTACCAAGTAGTATACGTTTCATTGAAATGAAAGCAAAAGCTCTCGATGCCAGGATACCGAAAGCGCTACAGAATGGGTTCCCGAGTACTATAAACCACGACGATTCACTCCATGAATTGAGCCACTCATGAAACATACATAAATCGGTGCATCTGGTTGCGTTCTATCAAATGATGGTGTTTTTTGTGCTTGAATGGAAAGTGCATTTAGGCAAGTTTGTGAAAGTTTGTTGAGAGAGTTTGAGCACTTGACCTTTCGGATTTCATGCTGAATAGATTGGATGTTGATGTTTCACGAGGTTTATTCTTTGGTATTGAGTTTTTCAAAAACAATGAGTCTTTTACCATTTGAGATAGGCTAGAATGGTGAACATATCATAGGACACTTATCCATGCATTTTCATTTCTGTTCTATTGGTAACTTTGTCTTCGATGAATATGTTAAAAACATATTTCATACAGAGATGTATATTTTTTTATTTAGAATTAACATGTTTCGTTCTTTATTGACAACGGTCGAAAATACGTGTATGAAGGATGCGGGTGGGGGTTGGTGTTTATGTGAGTGTGTTTGCGAGTGCGATGGTAATCGGAGACGACACTGACAGCCATCGAAATTCACATCCACATCCACACTCATACCCTTACCTTACCTTCAAAATATTCAGGCTGCAGATACGCACTTATCCCCTATAATTGTTTCATAATTCGATCTCACTCGATTTAGGACTGATTCTGTCCTTGACCAGTAACATGCCCACACCCTGAAATTCAATTTCATCAACTTCTGAAAACACTCTTCTACGTATTCTGATGACTTCTTTCAAACAACCTTGCAATCAATCTTATAATTTGTACCAATTCGATCCACTTGACTAATCAACTGAGTACTATATTCCAGGGTCAGGCTATTACATCACGAGAAAAATTTTTAAAAAATAAAATGATTTTCACACCAAGAGAAAAAAATCTACCATCGACATTGCTTTCAATAAACACTATGAATTGATCTGATTACCTTTCTAACAATCTATAATAAATAAGAACTTTTTTATTTCCAATAAGGGCCAAGGTTGCTAAGTAATACATCTCCATCGTTTCTAACATCGAGATAAGTACAATAAAATGATAGAATTGAAGGAATTAGAAAAGAACTTTCTTTCCTAGCACTGTGTTGTTTTAATTAATTTATAAGAATCTTTTTGACACTCAAATAAAAATATCGGTTAAAAATGTTTCGTCTATCATAACGAATGAGTAGAAACGAACTTTCAAAATCTTGAACTTAAAAAAAAACAGTTTTTATCGAAGTTAACTCATTCACAACACACGAAATGCTCACAAATGTATGCTTAATTAAATCGTTGCAACTCGAAAAAAAATGCAAAATCAGACGGATAAATTTTCATACAAGTAAGAAAATAGTTCTTCTGAATCGCTTGGAATATATATTTATCTATAGTTTTGATCATATTATGTTGAAGACTATTATGTCCAAGCTATTACTTTCAGATAACGGCCAAAACGCGTAAAGCATAACCTCAAGGACCGGGAATTTGAAGTCATCATTTTTTAAATCCATTAGGTGCATCTCGTAGAGTATGGTATAAAGTGTAGGAAAACATATTTAACATCTGTATAGTTTAATCATGAAGATATAAATAGTATCCCATCTTTGCATAATTATACATATAGCAAAACGTAGCATAAAAAAAACTTACTAATAAAAATAACCGCCATCGCATTATGTTAATTAAACTGATCCTTCTTCAAAATAAGAAGCCTGTTTGAAGAGTTCTTTTTTCCGTTGGATACCTCAAACTGTCTGCTACAAAACGTCTACCGAACGTTTCTTTTAATGTAGCGCACATTTGCAGTAAAATAAAGAACAAACAGGTCACCCTCAACTTTTTGTCTCTTGTTCATCATCGCGTTACGTCACCGATTTTTGCCTTAATTTTCAAACGGCTCATACAAACGAGCTCAAATTTTCAGAAGTTTTGGGAAAGGCAAAGACACATCTAATAATGAAAGAGAGAGCTTACTAGATAATCTAATTGCTGAGAAAAGTTAATAATACTGTGGCCAAAACGTCATCGCGCTAAGCTTGAGAAAGCCGATAATTATATAATTCAAGATTGTTTTTCTAAAGAAACAAAAGAATAACTTTGATTTTCTCTATTAAAAATAAGTTTATCGTAAAAATATTGTTCTTCTTTATTTTCAAGTAGAAATTTTAGATATTTGCTTCAGGAAAATCTTTTATATTAACTGATAGCGCTCTGCTAAAATTATTCTCTTTTAGTCTAATAGAAACTTTGCATCAATTCTTCTGTATGATCTAATTAAAAGGTACTGATTTTTGCACACGTAAATAAAGACATATTATGTAAAATATGTTTAATCATTATCATTTATCATGCTTCAGCGAACATAAAGAGTGGGTATGGATGTAGAATTGGTTATTGATATGGGTTCGGGATGTAGGATGTTGTGGATATGCCTTTTGAATCCATCCCCACACCTATTCTTTTTTTTAAATAGTTTATAATATTTTCTCTATTATCTTTAAACGGGTTGATAAAAATATCAAGTCCCAATTTCGCAAACATAGATTATGTATTAAGACAACTGAAATGCCATCTATTTCAAAAAGACTTCAAGTAATATTCTCTAGTGAAATGCACCTTTGTATTCTTGAAAATTAAAGAATATATGTCACGAACCGATTTAACACTTTCGAATGTAACAAATGTTTTATCAAGAAAACATTAGTCATGAATTTACAGGTAAAATTTCTTCCTCTACATCATTTATAATATCTTCAAGTACTAAGGGGCTTATCATTCATCTCTATCTACACGTATCGAAAGGCACCTTGTTTTTCTTTTCATACCAGAATACGATTGATGGTACAAATATACAACAATAAATATCAAAATGCAAATCTGAAAACGAAAACTTTCATAGAACTTCAAGAGGAAACGAACTGATTGCAATAAATGAAACGAAGTGCAGATTTCGCTAATCACAAAATCAGTTGGTTTCCCCTTGTACTCATTCAGTTCTTCTATCGTAGATCATGATATGCGGTTCTCATTTTTGTAATATGCGTTCTCGTAGAATATTGTTCATTGAACTGTACATGATACTTTGAGGATTCTATTACTTTTTAAAAAAAAACATATTACCTCGTCTTCAAAATTTTTAAGCATCGATTCATCTCTACGCTCAACGTATGACCTTCCTATTAGTATAGGGAATAAAAGAAATTTAGTAGTTAGTAACTCTTTATATTTTTTATCAGGTGTTTAAACAAACACCAATCTCCTAATCATGATAAAATATGAGATTGCAAAACAATCTATTGAGAGCAAAAAAAGAGACATTTTTTCGTAAACGCATCTTCCGGAAGAAAATATTTTTTTGCATTTCTCTTATCGAAAAGAAAAAGAAAACGTCGTAATTTTAATTTTTTATCTTGCTGATTGCGCAAGATAGTGACACGTGTTTTTTATGCATCAATGTTTCATTATTCATCACAACTTGTTTTTTTATTCACAACGAATCAAGTGAGTAATGTTATTGCACTGTTATATTGTACTTCAAATGTGAAAACAGNAGATTTTTGAAATTGTGTAAACATTAATTGATGTTTGATAAAATAGAATTTGAAAATTTGTTTAATATCTCCGTTGATGATTATTAATTGGTTATATATGGTGTGGGTGTGTGGGGTGTGTGTGTGGGTGTGGGTGCGGGTGTGAGGGAAAGAGAACACCCGCAGACTCACACCCACACCCACACCCACACCCACACCCACACCCACACCCACACCCACACCCACACCCACACCATATATAACCAATTAATAATCATCAACGGAGATATTAAACAAATTTTCAAATTCTATTTTATCAAACATCAATTAATGTTTACACAATTTCAAAAATCTATTCAAAATGATTTTGTTCAACAATTTATTTATTAATACAATATTGAATATAATCATTTTCATTTAATATACAGTGCACGTCAAAAATATTTCCCCCCTTATGTATTTCTAACTTTAAACTATTATCCTTTCTTTTTTTTTAAATAATGAGTAGACAGCAAAAAAGTACAGACTGTACTATATCATATGACTATTTGATCATAGGTTTCCAAAGCTACCCAGAAGACAAAAAGAATATTTCAAAAGAAAATGATGATGATTTTTTCGACAAAATATGTTCATCTGGATTAGAAAGCATAAAATATTTTCATGTGAACGGTCAATCGTAACATATATATCAATACCACATGCAATGGCGCATTTTCAATATGCATTCTTAATCTCTCGTCGCGATAAAGATAAGAAAGTCTTTGAAAGTAACGATGGAAAATTTGCTATTGTTACTGGATATTGACCTCGAATGGCTTCTTTGAATCCATGTCAAATTGGATGGTAAAAAAAGGTGAGCTCCAAATTTGGAGTTTGCGAATTTCTAGTTTTCACCAAAAATTTAAGCTCCAGCCTTTAACATTCTGCTTCTGATTGTTCAAATAGATACTCTTGTCTATGCTGAGTCAACCGGTACTGCTGAAGAAAATCAGCGTGGAATTACAATCTCCAATTTGTTGAAAAACTAGAAAGTTGTAAACTCCAAATTTGGAGCTCACCTTTTTTCACCAAATTGGATTGTCTAGTGGTGAGATGTACTTTGCTGATGCTGTTGGCATGGAAAGAATATCTATGACTAATTTACATTAACCAGCTTTTAATGCTTCTATCATATTCACCTTGTTATGAGACCGACTTTTATCACATATCAAATAAATGTTATTAAAACCTAGTCGATTAATTGCTGGCGCCGACGTTTTGACAATCCATTCATTCACTACTTCTTTTCTAATACCTTCAATGTTTCGATTTTTACGATTGACTGGTGTTAAAGTTATACAAGCGATCGATTGTGAACCATTGAGAGCACCTATACAATCATAACGTTGAGCATAAGCTGATGGTTTATCGACAATAACTAATGGTTGACGTCCAGGTGCTACAAGTGTTTGACGATGTGGCATAACTGCATAGATGGCTGTTTCGTCAATAAACACCAGCTTATCATTATGAATTCGTTGTAAAAACCTTCGAAATTTAGCAATCTGATTCCAATGTTCGTCATCGACTAAGTACAGAAAATGACAAAATGAAGTAGTAACATGTTTGTATCATGAAACCATATACTTACTATCAGGTAATGTTAATTCTTTAACTTTTCTCCACTTAATTCCATATTCTTTGCCATATCTTTGAATATCACGTAATGGCACTTTTTTACCTAATGAATCTTCAATATGTGATTGTACTATTTTATAATTCACTGGTTTATGTTGGGAATTTATCAGAGTAACGAAATCCAATAGATAATGCTTCACTTGATTTGGTGTCATTGTTCGTGGCCGAACGTCTTTTGATTTTCGATTTAATGACTCAAAAGTGCCATCCCATTTTTGATACCAATGCATAATCAGCTTGTGAGCACCTTTTATTTTAAATCGTTTAGCTAATGACTTGAATCCAGAACCAAAAACATCAGAACGATATTCTTGTAACACGTTGTGCTTGAAGACAGCAGTGTGCGTTTTGTATGTATTCTTCATGACGAACGAAAAACGGGGAAATCAATGTTAATAGATCAAGTTAATATGTGACTTTGTTCCTTGGTCAGCCACAACGGACACGTATGTCTATATATATATTCTTTATGCGTCCTGTATCGACATAGAGAAGCAAACAGATTCAAAGAGAACAGAAAAAATGAACATAAGCCAGAAAACGAACTCAACGTTTGTTTGAACTGCGATCCTGCACATAAGAAAATTATGCGTTAACTTCATGTCGGTGCTTTTCAGATTTCGAGATTAAGAAAGTGACGCTAGTGTATTGTTTTGCTTAACTAGATGCATTGATGGAAATACACTTTTAAATATTCAAACTGTAATTGACGTTTTCTGCAATGAAAGAGCAACAAATACCAGAAAGATCAAAACTAGATTTGTTTTAGCTAAAAATAATCGAAAAAATCATCAACCGTTCCTTTTGAGGCATTCTTTTTTTGTCTTCTGAGTAGCTTTAGAAACCTTTGATCAAATAGTCATATGATGCAGTAAAGTTTGTACTTTCGTGCTGTATACTCATTATTTAAAAAAGAGAAAAGTATAATAGTTTAAAAATAGAAATATATAAGGGGGAAATTTTTTTTGACATGCACTGTATAATTAGATAAGAATTTTTTTGTTCATCATTTTGATGATGAATAAAAATAATAATATTTTAATGACCAAACTATGTTATCTTTGTCAAATATCAATTTGAAGAGAATCAAACATTTTTTGAAGATATCTGAGTGGATTGCAACTTTTTGGTACCATTGACGAAAAAAAAAAGTAACCCTAAACAATTTTCCAGTAGTGAATTTTATTATACTCTATGCCAATATTATACAGTAAAAGTTTCCCAACGCTTTATCGATTATTAACGGAGATATGTGATTTACAAGTGACAGATTTTTGTGATTCATGTTATGTCCTAAATGTTAAGATGGGTGTGGGTGTAGGTGATAACAAGAGTAACAATCGCACACACACCCTCAGGGATATTATTGTTCCTCTCATTCACACCCACAACCACCCACACCGACACTCACACTCACACCATCCATACCCACACCCTCGTTGACGACTATCGACATATATATGATTTCTATTGTCGTTGGTGAAATTCCTGTATACTGTTGAAATTTTGTTGGAGCTTTTAATAATTTTAATCTTAGTTTTAATCTTTATTGAATAAGTATGTGTTCACTACCTCAGAAAATAAATGTAATGCATTTCGTAAAAAATGTAAGTTTTTATATTAGATTTTCTTGTATCGGCTTGTCCACGTAACGTGTCACCTAATGGATGGACTTTGTAATCTGATTGATTTTATCATCAAACACCTTTACAATAGTAAGAATGTTTTAAAAAGTTTCCTTTTAGAAATGCTTGTAATTTTGGTTTTGCTCATTCTCTTAGATATATTAAAAAAAATAAAATAGTTCATAGGCAACTCTTTTCTCAATAGAAACAATTTCATTGGTTGAGAAGTTGGTAAAGTAATGAAGACAGTTAGAAAAAAAATTTCTTGAACAATGGAGCGCTTTCTTTTTCATATAAAAAATTTAAGCTTCTTTTAATATTTTATAGATCCATTTTGTTATATTACATTTAGAAACCTGTTCAGCTTGCAAATTATATGCATTTATCTAGAAGTTGATTCAACATTTTCATGAAGCATTTGTATGCATGAATTGCTGAATAGTTTGTTTACAAAAGTCTGACTGCGATGAATGCATTACTTTCTAGCGAGAAATAATGAAGACAAATAATCTGATAATTAGCTAATCGTTTCTCTTGAATTTCTAGTAATTTTTTCTATATAGAAATATCAGTAGGTAAGTAAGAAAGAGGAATTAGAAGCTCAACATAAAAGGAATTGAAAAGAACATTATTTAAGGAAGAAGTCTACAATTAGTATAATGGAAAAATATGGCAAACGAGAAGCATAGTTCCATGACTTTCTCTCATTAATGATGTTTGCCAAACTATTTCATCATTTCTGGTGAATGACGCGCGCTTCTTCACAATTATCAGAAAAGAAATGAATTTAATGGTTATGCATTGATGCAAATAAGTAATCTAATTTGATCTGTAGACATGCATTCAAGTTAAACATCGTGAGATAAAGAAAGACTCTTCTAGACCAATGGCCTCCGCAGTCAATATTGGTGTTCGATTAATAAATCTTATCAAAACTTTGAACCTCTATGATGAAGACAATGAATTGCCTTTAGCTGAACAGCTCTTATCTACACGTGTTTATATCGTATCTCTTTTGATAAATTTCTTCATTATCATCTCATTCGCTGGTATCATTCCTCAAACTCGTTTAATTACTGTGCCTTCACCGTCTCCTAATGATTTTGAGAAGTTAGCTGACAGTTACAGATCTACAATTATTTGTCGTTGCTCTCAAGTAACGATGCATCATAAACAAGTTTTTTCATTCAATCCACAATTTCATCAAGTTTGTTCGAGTAATTTTATCAATGAAGAATGGTTTTCCTCTTTGTTCAATACAATAACAAGCAGTTATTATCCATTGGAATTTCGTCTAATGGCCTCTGCACAATTTCAAATTTTATCTCTTCTCTGCCGAATATCACGTCAGATCGTATTCGATGCTCTTACTGAATTTTATACGACATTACTTATTTCTACGCGTGCTCTAACACGCAGCGCTTTCAATAACTATACGATTACACTTTTCCAACAATTTAATACAACAACTATTACAAATCATCGTGTATACAATAGTTTTATATCTTCTATTATCGAGGAACATCGCTTTATATCTGCTTTACGCACTAATTTCTATACTAGAAGTATTCCTGGTAGTGACAAATATGAAACATTTCCCGCTATCTATCCACAAAATGTAGATCTAACTCAATCATCTTTCATATCAAATGAAACATGTCGATGTGATCACACAAGCAGCTGTATCTATCCTGCTGGTATCTATAATCAGTCAAAAGCCATCGTTCCTAATGAAGTATTTTTACCTGATGCATCACTTCTATTTGCTGTACCAGGATTTCAAGTTGGATGTGTACCTCAAAATGCCTTGCTTCAATCGACATTAGAATGCTTTTATAATCAATCATGCTTGGATATAGTCATTAAATTAACTGGTGCTCTTCCTACTGTCCATGCATTGAATATGTCAAGTTCTTCTCGATTTGATCCAACAACTACTGTCAGTGTTATTTTTGATCAATTAATGCTCGAATCCTGGCATAATTCTGCTGATTTTGCTGCCTATTTTCGGATTTGTGCGCCCAAAACTTGTTCCTATTCTTATCAACAACGTTTCTATATTATTTATATAGTTACAGTCATGACTAGTGTTTTTTGTGGATTGAGTAAAGTGTTGAATATGGCATCTCCATTGCTTGTTAAATTGTTTCTGCGCTTATGCTCCCGACAAGTTCCTACGATCGAGACTGATGAAAGAGATGAATTAAACACAAGTAAAATTAATCTTTTCAATAGACTTCTGTCCCTTCTCATTTTTTTTGCTCTAGGTTGCCATGATCGTTTATGGAAAATTGCCAGGTTCGCTTATCTTAAAGCTACTACATTAAATTTGTTTAAGACCACTTTCACTAATGTCAAGCATGGTATTTATTCTACTCGAATATATATCATACTTTTGCTGGTTGGTATTGGGATTTTGACCATCTATTCCACTAAAAGAACTATTTCAATAAAAATTATTGTTCAAAATCCAAATTCGAGTCAATTCGAAGAGCTTTATAAAATTTATCCATCGATTCTATCATGCCCATGTCGTCGTATATCAATACCACGCTCAATTTTCGCATATAATGAAATACAATTTCATCCAATTTGTACGAGTCATTTTATTCGTGACGAGCATTGGTTTGAATATTGGACGATGAAATTTCTCAATGGTACTGTTGATCCTGCTCCTTCTTTTCACTGGGCTGATTTTCGAAAGAATGGATTGAAAATTTTTAATTATGTCAGGATAGTCTGTGATTTGATTACTCAAACCGCTTCTTATTATTTGAGTGCATCTGAAAAGGAGGATTTTTTTGCTGCTGAACCTACAAGAACGGCTGAGTTCAATGAACTAACTACGGCATGGAGCTCGTCTCTAGATATAAAAGTAGAAAATTATTTAAAATATAATCTGGCAATAATTTAATCGAATGATTTTTTCATCTAGATTCGTGTCGTATTGTCGAACAAAATCAATTTTGTCGATGCGAGTATTCGACCGAATCATTTTGTTACATTCGATTCACCCACTCCTACATTAATCTCCAAACAGATCGATAATACATTGAAGTTATATTATGTTCCAGGTGTTATGTCTACGGCAGATTTTGTGGTCTGTTCTTGTAATACAGAGTATTTTTGTTTGCAACCGATAGGTTTCTATTGCTCTTCACCATCATGTCTACAAACGGATTCTGAACCAAATGTAACTGTTCCTGGCATGTATCTTGGTTGTCAATATTTAGATTTTACTTATTGCTCCCTTAATTGCCTTTTTGACTCGTCATGTGTTCAGATGCTAATTAACGAGCGTCTTTATGGTTATGAAAATTTCTATTTATCACTTGACTTCAATAATATAACTATGATTGATCCGGAAAACTTGTATATGTTTTCACCGAATGATCTATTGTATAGTATTATAGTAGATGTTCTAATTAATAAATGGATCAATATGGTAGATTATGATTCGTATTATGCTCAATGTCAGCCAGAAATGTGTACGTACACTATGGATGAGAAACTTCATCCGATTTCTCTTATTAATACCGTTGTTGGACTTATCGGAGGATTGACTATTCTACTGCGGCTTCTCATTCCCTTATTGTTCAAAATTATTCATATAATTTATCATATATGTCTACACAGAACACGAGGTAGCAAACTTTATTCTATAGATATTCAACTTTTTAAAACCATTCTAGATATTTCTACACGTCGAAGGGTAGTTGCTCATCTTCGAGATAAATTTTATTCCATAAATTTGTACCAAAATAAACCTGAAATCGAACATCAAATTTTGGCAACGCGTATCTATCTTTTCCTTCTAGTATTATCTTTGTTGATCATTTCAATTTTCATACGATTTCAGCGTCGTACAATAATCATTAATGTAGAATCACCAAATGAAACGTACTTCTCATTTCTTCATACTTATTATTCTGATAGTTTATCATGTCCTTGTACACGAATCTCTATTAGTTATATGGATATTACAGATAGTCTTTTGATTGATTATCACGAAATTTGTGATCAACTTCTACAAGGTACCATAACATACTCTTCATTGTTAGAAAACACTCCCTGGGAAGAATTTGCTTCTATTTTCATCGCAACTCGACTTATGGCTCTAAGATTCCGATGTCAAATTATGGATTCAATTTTAACTGTCTCCGTTTCTACTAGTGCGAAAAATTTAATATCGCTAGAACCAATGACCGTACAAACTTTCAATACATTGGTTGAAATGTCAATAACTGAAATTCATCAACATAATTTAATCATCGCCAACCATGTAATCGATTGGATTTCAGATATGCTTCAAGCTAATCAATTTCAAAATCAGTATATGACAAGTTGGAAAACAGAGTTTTCGAGTTTAGAGGAAAACTACATTCTTCGTATGCAACCGGTTTCATTCATGAATAATAGTTGTTTTTGCGGAAGTGGCAAGTCGAATTGTACAAAGACGCCTGTCTTTTATGATGATACTGGTGAATCAACAATATTACCTGGTAAGTACCCGAATTAGATTTGTCCTAATAAGATTCTATCATTTCATAATGATATATGGAAGTTACAACCATTCTACTTGATGTGTGATACATTTAGGCTTTATGGTTGGATGTTCGGTCATGAGTAGTCTGGTACAATCTACATTTGAGTGTTTCTATGATGATATTTGTGTAGATAAAATGAACAAACTTCTATCTGTTTCCTTTAATAAATTCAATCGTAATACAACACGATTCTCACCAACGACTCCAATCGGCAAAATTTTAGAAGAGAATCTACTAGAGACATGGAATTATTCAATTTCTTATTCTACTTATTTCCAGTTATGTGCCCCGTCAATATGTCAATACTATTACACTGAGAAAAACAATGCCATGTACACATTTACAACACTGCTTGGATTATATGGTGGATTGACTGTAGTCTTAAATGTTTCCGTCTGGCATTCATTACGTCTCTTTCGATGGATTATAAGACGATGTCCATGTTTGTTGCGACAGGTGCATTCATTATCATAGATTTGAATGAACTCTCTAGAATATCAGTGTTGCTTTATTTGCATTTATTAGGTTTATTAGGTGTGCAAAAAAGGCTTGCTTTTGTGTGATGAAACTAACTTACTTATTCTTTTACTCAAAATGTATTCGATATTAAATAATTAGTCATTTTTAATAACCATACACCGATAAGTTAGTTTTTCTCGATCAAATTTCTAGGAAAAAAATATCGTACAAAATCGAGGCACGATGCAAGCAGTTGTAGTACGGCAATAAAAGGATTGTTCAAAGTTTCGAGAAACCGGCGGAGTAGTCGAAATTATAAAATTCTACTAATATTTTGTGAAATAAGATCTAAAAGGATAGGTGTGGGTATTTTTTCCTCCTTCAGACACCGGGAATCACGCGCTCACATCCATGCCCACAGCCTTACTAATGATCTGAGAAAACCCTATGAAAGACTTCTGAAAATCTGACTATCCTACTTGATATTTTTCTGACTCCATTCTATGTTAATGTAACAAACAAGGTCAATTTCAGACGTTTGAAATTCTGAACAAGTCAATATTCATGTAAAAGAAAAACTTTTTCATTGGTCCACAATTGATATAATGTTTAGTTAAGATATGCTTCATATTCGGAAGTGACAAAAAAGATCAGAGAACTTTTCCTCTCAGATTATTATTATTATTCCCATCATTAATGACTGTTAAAATAATTTTTCTATCTTATTAGGTTTTGTATTAATGTAGAAACCTAGCTAAAGAAATTTGTGTGACAGTATTTTTCATCTGCTTTAGCCATAAATTTTTCGATTGTCTAACTTGCATAGATAACTTATGATTCTTTCGACAGGAACATCATAGTTATTTAGGGTGGGGTGGGTGGGCGTGGGATGGGTGAGGTGTGGGTGTGGGTGTGGGTGTGGGTGGGTGTGGGTGTGGGTGTGGGTGTGGGGGGGGGCGCGGGTGCGCGGGTCGGCGTGTGCGGG